CTCTGTACTTCAAGTGAACCCTTAATACTGCCAAGTAAACCTTACCACTTTTTCTGATCAATTCATTACTCATTCTACTGAACAATTTCAAATATATTTTCTGTCTTCAAACTTTTCCTATCTTCCTCAACTCTTTCATATCTGAAGATGAGCTTGCTTTTTTTCTGTTTCACCTAGAAAAGTGAAATAATCTGAATACAATTGCTATACACTGGTTCTACCATGCCTATCAGTCTCATGGATCTACATGGACTCTGCCAATTTCTATGGAGGCACTGCCCATGCTCATAAAACCAAACTTCCTGTTTGTATGCTCCATCTAGCCCCTCTAAGCTGCTCAGAGACTTAATTTCTACAAATATAGTTCTCTGTTTTCTATTTAATCAGTTTATACCTCTCTCTTAGATTATTACCATGAGCAAATGCACATGCTATAATACATTCAATCTTAAAATAAAGAGCTTGATTCTCACCCAGGAGCCATCCCATTTCTCTGGCATTTTTAAACAGAAAATTAATGACTTCTACATTGTTAAATCTAATTACTGGTTAATTCCAGGTCTGAAATTCCTATTTTGCTTGACCAATCAGTAGCATTTTATGTCATTGTCCATTTCATCTTTCCAGAATCACTGACTTACTTGGCTTCTGAGAAATTCCTCTCTCATGGTTGTCCTCCTACCTCACTGGTTGCTGCTCCTCATTCTGCCTCAGCTTCACACCTCCGACTGTAGAAGTGTCCTGGCAATGAGCCTTCAGACCAGTGGTAATCGCTCCAGGTGAACTCATCCAGTCCCTTGCCTTTACATCCCTTAATTTTCTGACATTTCCTAAAATTCTCTCTCTAGACTGGGGTGTTCCTTTAGCTCTGGACTTATGTATCCAGCTGCCCACATTATGACTTGGACATCTAATTAGCATCTCAAATTTCACATGTTCAAAGCAAACTCTTAACATCCTCTTCACACCTAAACCTGCTTCGCCACAGTCTTCCCTCTGTCAGTAAGTGAATATTTCATTCCTCCAGTTTCTCAGATGAAACTTAGGGATCATCCTTGGTTCCTCTCTTTTTTCACGTGGCACACAATTGTTGTTGGAAACTCTGTCAGCTCTGGCAGGAAATACGAAATACAGCATATCTATAATCTCAACGACTCCATCTCTTGTATCCGCTCCAAACCACCTTATCGCTTGCCTGGACTTTTGCATTTTACCTGGCCTCCCTACTTCTACCTTTTCCCTACACCAATCTATTCTCCACAACACACCTTGAGGGATTCTTTGAAAATCAACTGATATTTACAATATTTCTAGGATCACAACACTTGAATGGCTTCCCAACAGACTCAGAATAAAAGAGAAAATAGTGGCTGTAATCTGTGAAATTCCCATGATCTGAACACAGACTGCTTCTCCAAAATCTTCCCGAGTATCCAAGATTTATGGACTTCAAGCTCCTACAGCACTTTACTTCTACAGATTTAAAGCAGACACTATGATAAGATGCATTTGTAAAGTCTGCAATGAGCATGTGCTTTTTATTCAATCCTAAGGACATCTCTATCTTAAACTACCAAAAAAAAATCCTTCTGTCAGAATTTCAACATCAAATATCTTCATGTCTTTACTACACATAACAGCAATTCTTAGGAAAATTATTAAATGTAAATCAATCTAGATAATAAGTATATAATAATATTAATAATCCTCTGCAAAGCTATGGCTTTAATTAAAAGGTTTTGAGCACAACCCATCTTTCTTTGCTAGCTAATTTCCTCCAATATAATATTCAGTTTTCCTTTTTACAACCAAGGTCTCAAGTTCACACTCAATCACAATTGAGCATCTACAATGGGTCAGGGCATTGAGGACTGGGTACTAGGTATACAAAATGCCTCCTGTGGAATATGGTCTTAGAATACAGCCTAAATCTGTTTAATTAAAATAAAATGTCACAAAATCAGTGACCAAATCTTTGAATTTCAACTATCCTCATGTGTTTCAGTGTATAACAAAAAGGTATTCCTCCAGTAAAGCTTACTTAAATGATAGTATGCTTATAAAATACTAATTAGTATATTTATAAAATGATAGCATAGACATAATGGTAGATAGGTAGATAGATAGATAGCTCCAAAAACTCATTGTTATAACATAAGCTAGGTCTTTTATTTCATCGAAAGCATTGAAAATAAGAAAGAAGAAAATGAATGCTATTCCAGATATTAGTCCTATTCTATCTACTTTGAGACAAAGTATAGTAACGTGGTTAAAGTTTGGATATACGGAGAAAAAGTGTTAATAAATAGGTTCTATTACTTTCACTATGAATATATTGTATTCTACATTACTTATTAGCAACATAAATTTTATATATGCTTCTCACCTGTTGAAATATAACTTGTATGATGCTTTTCTTTGATAATAATTTAGTTTTTGTATAGTTTTAAAAGGAAGAATTCATTGATACTACATATCAAAAAGAAACAGGATAGCCAATGTGTGCCAATATCGTTTCCAGTCACCTCATATATCTCATCTGTAAGTAATATTCAATGAAAATCAGTGACAAAATTTCCTCTAGGAACTCAAAACATATCTTCTCTGAATACAGCATTTAAGAAAATAAAAGAGAAAGAAAGGCAGAAGTGTTGAATATGAGAATAGCCAATTCAAATGTAAAAACTACTTCTTATTTGCAGTATCAATCTCTTCTCCCTATTCCCAAAGAGTGGACCACCTGATAGAATTGTGATTAGTTTGGATCTATAGACTATTGGAATTGATCTTTGAATTGTTGTCTCATTGCTTCCTCTTGAATCCTACTATTCCACTGCCCATTTCAAACCACTCTGTTTAAATTCCTCCAGATTCACATTCCTAAAATACCAGCGCAGCATAGTGGAAATAGCTCTGGAGAGAGAAAGACATTGTTTGAAAATCTAGTTCCAGCACTAACTACATCTGTGGTTTTAATAAATCATTGAATATTTCTGCACATCAGGTTCCTTCACATGTAATATAAGGATAACATGTAAAATAAGGTTCATTTTACCGCACAGCCATCACAATTTTAGACATGAATACAAACCATCTTGCACACAGGAAATGCTGTTAGCATTGGCAGAATGATGATGATGGTGATCATGATAAAAAGAGGCACAAATACTCCTTCTTTTCTCAGAAACTTTCAATTGCCTCCATTGTATGATATATAAAGACAAAATTACTCTGTGTGAATTTTAAGATGTTTCACAAATTTTTCCTGCCCTACCTATTGAGCACAATGTCTCTCACTTACAAAGGTGTATTTTTTCTGCTCCAGTCAGACAAATTACTCACCATCATTCTCTGCTATATGCTAATTCATGCCTCAAACCTCTTTATACCAATTACTTCTACAAAGTAGAATATTCCTCTTGCTTTCAGCAAATATCCAAGTTTGTCAATTTTTCAAGACAGCTCAGGAGGTTGAACTTCTTTTTCAAAGATTCCTGAATTCCTCTAGCACTAACATCCCTGCTAAAAAGGGAAATTTTTAAGATCTTGGCATTATGGAAGAATTCAATTGACCTTGTAAAATCAGCATAAGGAAATGATACTTCTTCAAAGTAACCTGAGATTATTTTTCATATTTTTAAGAGTTACAGTCACTATCTTTGATTCTAATAATTAGATGAAACACTGATAAGTTATTTTGAGGCCACACCCATAATGAGGCCCAAGAAGCTATATCCCAGTGATCAAAGTAATTATTGAATCCTGTGATAACACATGAAGAATGTAAAAGAAAGACAATGAAATGATCTATTATTTCACAAGAATACATAAGTTTTTGGAAAATAAAGCAATTCACATAAAGTGTTTTTTTAAGTCCATTCAAACAGATCACACAAAACTCATACAAATATTATATCACTAATTTGTCAAAATTCCTTTCTTATTTAATATTTTCATGAAAACATAGAAAAGTCAGAATTCAAGAGTATTTAATGTATATATAGGAATATTTATTGATAATAAAATGATACATTAACAACAAATATGTATTCCAAAGTTGTAATAACACCTTTTTTCACAAAAAAAAATTAGCAAAAATGTACTCACCTGATTTTAGAAAACAGAAAAACTGGTATTGATGTAAATAAGAATATCAAGAAATATTATGTATTTCCATGTCATATATTACTACATATTTCTAATTGTATTATTTGCTTTAGGAATATCTTCCTTATATTTATATTTAATAGACTTACTCACTTGACGGGTCATTTGATAATTACTCTTTGCAGAAAACATAAGCAAATGCTTCCCAGTGGTTTGCAGATTTTTTTCAGTCTTGTAATTTATTTCTGTATAGTTAAACATTATTTTCCTTTGTATTATGTACAAGATTTTATTAGTTTATTCTGTGTCTCTATCTCCTCCACACTATGTAGGTAACTTATGTAAAGAAATCAATATTAATGCTTACTTTGAAGTATACTTTTCTGTTAACAATGACAGGAATTCAGCATTATGACTCACAAAATGAAAAGAACTCAAAGTGCATAAGGCATAGATATGAGGGTTTGCATAACAATTTCACTTTTTTACTGTAAAAATATAGATTACTTCAAACAATAACTAAGTCGTATTCACTTGAAACTATGAAACAAGGTTTTAATATCAACATATTCTATTACTGTCTGAATTTAGAGTTGAAATTCTTACCTGAGTTTTGTTTAGTATACAGTTATTTTTTTAAAGACAGGAAATGTGTGACAAGTTGTCAGGAAAAATAAAACCCACAGTGGAAAAAAATGGAAAGGGAAGGGAAGAAATCAAGTCCACTTTAAAAAGAAACTTCAAATCCTTCTGCTCCCCAGACCTACAGTAGTTTTGCTCTGCATCTTGTAAGCAACTGTCTTTTTCTTTGCTCCGAGAACAACACATGCTCTGCTCCAGCAGGAAAGTATAAAAATTAAATAGAAAACCACAAAGTTATTAAACACTCTTACCCTCTGGGCTTGCTGGGCTGCTCTAGCGTCTCAGTTGCAGCCACATGTGTAAACAACAGAATTTCCTGCACCCTTTTCTCATCTGTACAGCTCTGGGGTCCTGGCCAACAGGATTATTTCCAGCATTAAGGGCACTCTACACTAACTCAAAAAGGATTCCCATTGGTTGTGAAGTTTTATCAAAACCAATACCACAACACCCTCTTTGGATCACAAGTGAGCTAACCAAAATAAAATCATTTTTAATGTCCCCTATATATGGTTATCCAAAGCTTTCCATACAACCCACTTGAAACTATGTACTACAAGTGAGAAGAAAGTAAATGCCCACGCCTTCATCCACAAGTATACTTAATGTTTAATAATAATAGTATAACTTGTAATAATAACAGAAAAACTGAAATGCCAAAGAAATAAAAATAACTAGTAAAATACTTATCCATAAAATATTTAAAGACAAATTATCCTACAGATCACAGGAACAATAGAAAATATTATTTGTCCAATCTGATTTGTATTAGATTGCCACAAAAAAGGAAAAGAAATCATATTTAATACAATATTTGAGTATACAGATCATGAAGCCAAAGCTGAATGTCAAAACCCTTGATTGCAGTCACATTGGCAGAAATTGTGAGCTGCAGTCTCCGGGGCCCCCAGCAAGAGCTCTCTTGCCCCTTTCCCTGGGGAAAAAGAAAATGGAATAGCTTTCCAGTGACATGACTCAGCTGTCAGGAAGTGTTCTGATGAAGGGATGGTGGCAGACCACATAAAAGAGAGCTTCCCTAGTTGAAACTAACAACAGAAAATGCTCAGGGAAAGAGAAAAGGGCAGAGATAACACAATAAACATGCTCTTTGTAAGTGGCACAAAAACAGCATTTGAAAGTTAGGGAGTAAATGTCTTCAGATTATTTTATTCTTCACCCTTCCTTATTTAGAGGCTTATTCTTGGTTCAATAACAGTTTTACCATCTTTTTCAACTGAACAACATTCTTTGCTCTTACTTCCTGACGCCATGGAAAGGTGATCATTCTCTTGTATATAAAGCCTACCAACCTTTTTGAGCTAAACTTAATCATGATTTTTCTCTCTTCTGTCTTTGAACTCTCCCTCTTGTCTGGAATTTCCCTACAAGATGTTAAACATCATAATTTCTTTAGTCAATTTCACCTATGCCAATGAATTTTAAAATATATATATTTTTAGTTATTATGAGTATGTATTAGTTGTATATCTTTATAGGGTACATGTGACATTTTGATACAGGCATACAATATGAATTAATCAAATCATGGTAATTGGGGTATCCATCACCTCAGACATTTAACATTTCTTTGTGTTAGGAACATTCCAATTCCACTCTTCGATATTTTAAAGTATACCCAACTTATTATTGCTACAGTCACTTTATGATGATATCAAATATTCTTCATTCTAATTATCTAACTACATTTTGTACCCATTAACCATCCTCATTTTATTCCCCCTCCCTGCTACACTTCCCAGCCTCTACTAACTGTCATTCTACTCTCTGTCTCCATGAGATCAATTGTTTTTAATATTTAGCTCCCACATATGAGTGAGAACATGCTAGATTTGTCTTTCTGTGCTTGGCTTATGTCACTTAATATAGTGTTTTCCAGCTCCATCCACGTTGCTACAAATGACAGGATTTCATTCTTTTTGTGACTATATAATATTTCATTGTGTAGATGTACCACATTTTTTTATCAATTCATCTACTGATGGACACTTCGATTGATTCCAATCTTGGCTTCTGTGAATAGTGCTACAATAAACATGGGTGTGAAGATATCTTTTCAATATACTGAATTCCCCTCCTTTGTATATATATCCAGCAGTGGGATTGCTGGGTCATATGGTAGTTCTATTTTTAGTTTTTTGAGGAATCTCCACACTGTTTTCCATAGTGGTTGCAGTAACTTACATTTCCACTAACCATATATGAGGGCTCCCCTTTCTCCACATCTTTTCCAGTATTCGTTATTACCTGTCTTTTTGATAAAAATTATGTTAACTGCGGCGGGATGATATCTCGCTGTAGTTTTGATTTGCATTTCTCTGATGACCAATGATGTTGAACATTTTTTCATATACCTAATGGCCATTTATATGTCTTCTTTTGGGAATGTTTATTCAGATCCTTATCCCTTTTTAATCAGATTATTTTATTTTTTTTCTTATATATTCTAACTATTAATCCTTTGTCAGATGGGTAGTTTGCAAATATTTTTTCTCATTCAGTGTGTTGTCTCTACACTTCATTGATTGTTTCCTTTGCTATGCAAAAGCTTTTTAGCTTGATGTGATCCCATTCACTTAATTTTGTTTTGGTTGCCTGAGCTATGGGGTTATTACTCAAGAAGTCCTTGCCCAGACCAATGTCCTGAAGTGTTTCCCCAGTGTTTTCTTTTAGTAGTTTCATAGTTTCAGGTCTTAGATTTAAGTCTTTAATCCATTTTGATTTGATTTTGTATATGGTGAGAGATAAGGGTCTACATTCTTCTGCATATGGATATCCAGTTTTCCCAGCACCATTTATTGAAGAGGCTATCCTTTCCCCACTGTCTGTTCTTGGCATCTCTGTCAAAGAACATACGAAGAACTGTATGTGTGGATTTATTTCTGGGTTCTCTGTTTTGTTCTGTTGGTCTATGTGTCTGTTTTTATGCCAGTACCATGCTGTTTTGATTACTACAGCTTTGGAGTATAATTTGAAGTCAGGTAATGTGATTCCTCCAGTTTTGTTCTTTTTGCTCAGGATGGCTTTGGCTATTCTGGGTCTTTCGTGGTTCCATAGAAATTTTAGGATTATTTCTGTGAAGAACATCACTGGTGATTTGATGGGTCTCCATTCTAATTGAGAGGGTACATTGACACCATGGTTTCTAATACACCTGTGTACACATACGTCCACTATTATAATGCTCCATATCCCATAGCAATCACTGGAAGCATAAGAAAAATAGATAAGAAAATTCAACCTTGAGGTTTTCATAATTTGTTGGCAAGGTCACAATATCTTAAGGCACTCAGCACACATCAATGAGGGCTATTTTTTTTTCTTTTTTTGGCATAGTCCAATTTCATTCATTACTAGGTTTTCCCTGTGGATTCTGCTGTTTACCTATCCAGTATCATTCCCTACCTTCCTCCCTATAAAAAAAAAATTTTTATTTTTGTTTGGAACAACAATATGGTCAATTAAAAAAAAAAGCCTATGTTACCAAGCCTCCCATACAAATATACTTGGCTTTGTGGCACAGTTTTGCCAAGGAAACAGATGGAAGCCGAGTGAGCATTTTTAGAAAAGTTTTGTCTTCCTTATGCAGATGCCAGTCCATTTCACTTGTTTCCTCTTTTTGCTTCCTCGAATAAGGATAGAAGGCTAGAGACAGAGAAGCCATCCTTAGATGATCTTGAGCTCCTGAGTTCATGACTCAGATGGAAGCCACATACTGCAGAAAAACCCAGGGGTATGATTGGCCTCAAGTGGGCTTTCCGTGATGGAAAAGAGGAAAAGAGACTTAATCTGGTTAAACCACTGTCATCAGGTTTTTCCTGTGGCCTTGTTTATTGGATTGGGAACCTCGGGCCAATGGAAAGTTGTAATAGTATCTCACTGGAGAAACGATGAGAAATAAATATTAATAAAAACTGATTTTATTCTAGATCCTTATCACTTAATTAGGAGGTCCAGAAGAAATCATGAAATTGAAAACTCCCACAGCAACCATTACCCAATTTTACATCTCTCTCTCACCATCTCAGTGAGGGGATCCCTGATTCCCACAGAAAGAGTTAATGCTATAGCTAAAAAGCTTTGTAAAGTACTCATGTACTTATTTACATGTCTGTTTCCTCAACAAACCATGAATTTCTTAGAGAGATAATATTGTATGTGTCTTTGAATTTTCTGCAGATAAGCAAGTAATGGGTAAGTGAATGAAAGCATAAATGGATGAATGGATGTTCTATATACCATCAAAGAAAATTAAAATAATGAGAATATCTCAGAATTTGACAAGTTGTAGAGAAAGTAAATTATAAAGACATACCTTTAAAGCATTGAATAAGTGTATGGT